GTCTGGTGCACGTATGAGGTCTATTTTACTTGTGATTTAGAGGTTCCATTTAAGATTTTGCCAATCTAAGATAATGCACGATATGTGCACCTTTGTTTTCTTTTTAAGGATTTTATAGATTGGGTGCTGTGTTCCATCAGAGATTCATGTCAATGTGTCCAGTGATGAACTAGTAGGAACAGCATCCTTTTAGACCTTTCCATGGGCCTCCCAGGCTGCTTTTCCGAAGCTCTTCTTGACCCAGTGATGCTGCTCACAGTCAGACCTCAAGGTGGCGCAAAAGAGACGTCAGCTTCTTTGGTGGAGTCCTGCACAGCTGGGAAAGCCAAACTCTTGTTATTACTGTTGTTGTTATTGCAAAAACAGTGTGCTGACACTCTTCCCCTAGAAATCTGGATGCCCACAAAGCCTCTCTCCGTGATGGGTGCTTGTCTAAGACTGTTTCAGGGGCTCCGGGCCAGGGCTGAGTGGGGCTGGAGCTGGTTCAGAGGCATTGCATTGCAAGGTCCGTGGAAGGCCTGGGCCCAGGTCTGTCTGCCTGTTACCCTGGGAATGAGCTGGATCCTACAGCTCCCACGACCTGCTTGGTGTCCCTGCATGGATGCAGAAATGTTCTTCTCAGTGAATGGTTGTTGAGGATAAAAGGGACAAAACTAAGGTATGTCTTATGCCACCATGGTGCTGCCATCCTCTGAAGCTTTACCTATGAAACACTCCATTTCTAAGTATAAACCACTGTTTATGAACCCCCTAATATAAGTCACTGATTTGTTTTTCCTCTTGAACAATTGCAATGAGAGCTAAGAACATTACATAAAACAAGAGACAGTGCATAGGTAAAGAAAATGGGCTCACTGAATGTGCCTGATGAAGGCTTGTATGCATCTCATGTACTGAATTCCGACAAACCACACACATAAGAAATGGCCAGTAGAATTAACGTTTTGTGAAGGTGGTATGCAAATGGAAAATAAGCCCAGTAATTGTGAGATACATCATCTTACCCACCAGAGTGCCTAACAGTGAAAGGACTCATTTTAAGGATTTGAACTTGATTCTGACAGCAAAGGAAGACATTGAATTGACAGCAGAAGTGGAAATGATTCTGAAAATGATCTAATTTACTGCCCTTGCATTTTTAAGGATGTTGTCCTCATGGAAAGTAGGTTTGGATGCAACCTCTGTCTTATGGGAACTCTTAGCTTTCAGTAAAAAGTTTTTTAAATAAGGCAATACTAACTATTGTTTGTAAGAACAGCACCATAAGTACCATACATTTTGCTGGGTTTGTGTACATTTCCACATCTGTAATGGCTGTTTGAATTATAAGAAACTGAAAGATAATAGTGACAGAACTGAACCAGAGGCAAGTTCTCTGAGATACACTCCATAGGAAGCAAGAATATTTAAAACAGGAGGAAGGCTGATAAGCACTTGATAGAGATTTGTAGTTTTAAAATTTGAGATGCCCACAGCAGGTTTCTAAAAATACCAGCCCACCTCTGGCTGGTGTGCCCTCAGCTGGCTGGGCATCGTCCCATGCACTGAAAGGTGGATGGTTCAATTCCCAGTTAGGGCACATGCCTGGATTGTGGCTCAGTCCCCAATTGCTCATATCCCTTCCTCTCTTTCTAAAACATCAATAAACTATTAAAATAAATAAAAATACCAGCACAGCAATGGGAGTCAACGGGGAACCAGTGGAAGGATATTTCTGTGTAGTGATTTTCACCTAGTTTGTTCAAGTTGCTTACCTAAAGCGTCTTGCTGTTCTCAGCCTATCAGTAACAACTGTTGTGGCTGGACCAGCCCTTGTGTTTCTTATTATGATTAAAAGATGATTTTTGAGCAAAAGCCATTGGGAAACATGTGTGTGGTGAAGACATTACTTACAAGCCTGGAAATTACATAGCAAACTTAGGGCCACACAGTAAGGTCTTTGAGGATGGTAACAGGCGAGGAGAAAGGGAAGAACTAGATAAAGTTAAAGGAAGATAAGAAATGAAAGGTAGAAGACTAAAAGAAGGAAAGGTAAAATTTGAAAATAAGGTAAAAAGAACTTGCATGTAGTAAAACATTTAATACAATGAAAAACTTTAAGAGCTGAAACAATGTAGGAAGTTGTGACTTTTCATAGCACATTAAAATAAATGTTTTCTTAAACTATGTTAGAATGAGATTTTTAAAGAGAAGAGAAATGCAAACATGAGGGCAGTGAGTAGCAAGAAGCCAGAAAAATGGACAGATGAGATTAAATACAGAGGAAATGGACATAAAGATAAAATAGTAGAGAGCAGGGCAATTCACAGTGTATGGGATGACGGAGGGAGCAAAAGAGAGATTTGTGGGGCTGTGTCTTGCTGCACTAATCTCCTGGTACATATGTCCAGTTAGTCGAGTGGATCTGCCTCTGAATCGAGTGTCTTGACACAATGCAATTTGATGTCCATGCATGGGATTTTTTTTTTCTACAGGTACTATCTGGTTCAGGAAATATTACCCAACTTTTAGATAAAACCTAACCTGCTTGTCTTTCCAGGTAGATAATATAAACCAACTTCTTTATCCTCATTATCAATGTTTAAATATACTCACAATGTATATCTTAAGAGCAATTTCTTCATCTTTACAATAAAGAAATTGGACTATATATTATTTTTCTTTTTCCAAATAAAAATAGGTTTATTCATTATAAAAATAATTCATAGTTACAGGTAGAAAAGAGAAAGGTTAAAATAAGTAAAAATCATGCACATACTAAATTGAAAATAATTATACATACCTTTATACATCTTTTCAGATATTCTAAACATACATAAATATACATATCCACCATCTGAAAACTCGATATATTTGTTTGACAATATATTCTATTTCTAATATTAAAAATATGTCTGCTTGGCTGTTGTTGCTAAGTGATTAGTGTAGAGAGTGTAGAGAGTGCCTGGGAAGGCACAAGAGCATTCCCTTAATTATTGTCAGCTGAATCCAGTGGTGTTGACAGAGCCAAATCCTGGAAACACATCTTTCCAGAAGCTGGAGTGTTGTCAGCCTGACCTTCCGCCCAGGCACCAGGGGGTTGGTTTTGTTATCTATAATAAATCCAGCCAAGCACCAGGAATAAATAAGACTCAGGTCCACCCATGATTGCACATAATCGTTGTCTTGACCTTTAGTAAAGCTTCCTGGGTTTTGCTGTATAAAATAGACTCACTGTATTTATTGGCTCTGGGTCCCTGTCTTTCCATCAGAGGACAGTGGTCCCACCCACTCCTAGCTTTCCCTACTGTATTTGTGTCTGTCTCTTTCATTTTCTCAATCCCCCATCACCCCTAATCAGGAACTGGACCACTCTCTAGCTGAACTGACATGGAAAAGAGAGAAATATTTAAAGGTTAGAGCATCAACCTGAGCACTAGAGGGTTTCAGGTTTGATTCCCAGTCAAGGGCATGTACCTGGGTTGCAGGTTAGATCCTGGCCCATAGGGGTGCATGCAGGCGTGCACAGCAATCACTATGTCTCTTTCATCTCTCTCTCTCTCTCTCTCTCTCTCTCTCTCTCTCTCTCTCTCTCTCTCTCTCTGTCTCTCTCTCCCTCTCCTCCCCACCCCTCTCTTCCCCTTCACCCTTTCCCTTCCAGTCTCTCTAAAAATCAATGGAAAAATATCATTGGGTGAGGATTGATAACAATACACATAAAAAATTTCTGAAAAAATAGTATCTTATAGTATGTTCGTAATAAGTACCTCTGAACACTTATTCCTTTTTTAAAAAGATTTTTAAAATTGATTTTTAGGTTTTAGGGAGAAAAGAAGGGAGAGGGAGAGGGAGGGGAGAGAGAGAGCGAGAGCGAGAGCGAGAGCGAGAGCGAGAGCGAGAGAGAGAGAGAGAGAGAGAGAAACAGAGAGAGAAACAGAGAGAGAAACAGAGAGCGAGACACAGAGAAACAGATGTGGGAGGGAATCATTCATCTGCTGCCTCCTGCATACCTTCCTTCCCTGTCCTCCATGGATCCTATATCCCAGGCAAATGCTCTGACAGGTAATCAAACCAGTAATCCTTGGTACCCGGAGGACGCGGAGTCAACTGAACCAGGTGCTGACGAGGGCTCTTCAATTATTTTTGAGTAATTTTTTGCAAATAAAATTTGTTTCAAAAAATACACATAGTCCTAACTGGTTTGGCTCATTGGATAGAGCATCAGCCTGCGGACTCAAGGGTCCCAGGTTCGATTCCTGTCATGGGCATGCACCTTGGTTGCGGGCACATCCCCAGTGGGGAGTGTGCAGGAGGCAGCTGATCGATGTTTCTCTCTCATCGATGTTTCTAACTCTCTATCCCTCTCCCTTTCTCTCTGTAAAAAAATCAATAAAATATATTTTTAAAAATACACATATTCTAAATTTTAGTATGTATGACTTTTAAATCATTTGACCAGGTTTTCTTGGAATTTGATTGGGATCTCATCAAGTTTGTAGCTGGGAATAAAAAGCATTCGTTCACTGGCTGCTTTAACAGGTATACATTGAATGCTTCCTATGGGCCCGGCTCTATAAGTGCAGTGGACAATACAGTTTGCAATGAGGGTACTTTTGCCTCAGAGTCAAACCAGCCTGCAGGAAGCTACATAACGTGAAGGCAGGACCTGCCTCTTTGCACCCCTGCTCTGTGCCTTTCCTTGATGCTCATCCCTCCAGGAGCAGCCCGCTCCGCCTTCCTGGGCCAAGTGCCTGGTGTCCCGGAGCCCTGCCGCCACTGCACCTTTGGTGGGGCCCCAAGGAAACCAGTCCCTGTCTCCGCCCCCCTTGGCCGCTCCGCCCCGAGAGGTGCCTCCTTTCCCGCCCCCCTCGTTCTCCCTCCCTTCCTCTCGGCTCTGGGACCTCCCCTTCCAGAGTCCCGCGCCTCCCAGCTCATTCCGGGCGCCCGCTGCCGGCGCCGGACAGCGCTGCTCCGCCGGCTGCGCCGCCCGCGGGTTGAAAGAATTTCCAGACGCGGCGGGCATGGGGCGGGCCCCGCTGCTGCTGCCGCTGCTGCTGTCCTGGATCCTCGTCCCTGGGCTTCCGAGAAGGGGTGAATGCGTGGGACAGGGGTCTGGGAGGGGGGATGCGGGGCCCGGGGCTGGGGGAGGTGGATGTTGGAGTTCCGGAGGGGGCGCGGGGCGGCGGGAGGTCAGGGGCGGGTAGGGGTGCGTCCCCCTGCTGGGCAGGCTTGCAAACACCCACTCCCCCAGGCCCCCACCCCCACCCCCAAGCGGGTCCAGCGCGGTCCTCTGGGCAGGTTTGCAAACACCCACTGAGACGAGCAAGAGAGCAGCTCTCGTACTAGCCCAGAGTCGGGGCGCCTAGGTGGGCAGTGAGGCACATCCTGTGGAACCTGCGGGGGGGAGTGGGGGGGGGCATCCCTTTCCTCAGGGAGGAGGTCACGCTCTGTGCTGAGTTCCCCAAGGGTTCCGCCCAGAGGACCGCGCTGGGGCCGCTCCGGCAGGAGCTCTGGGGACCGCACACCCACTTCCCCAGGGACTCGTGCCCGCTAACGCGCGAGTTGGGGTCGCTGTTGGGGCGCGTGGACTAAGGCGGGACCCGGGATGGCTTGCACTCAGGCTGCTCCCCCTGGGCCCTCATGGGCAATACTAGCACCCTTCTAAACGACACCCCGTGGCGGTGCGGGGCCAGGAGAAAGGGGAGCATTCCGTACCCTGTTCCTGGAAGAGGGGCTCCAGTGCTTGGACAGCGTGTAGGTCCATCCCAGCTCTGCCAGGCGTGTGCACAGGTATTCCAGTGTGGATGCCGGCTGGATGAGCACAGCCGGTCTGCAGGGCCGGTTCTGCACCCATAGCTGGTTCACGGGTGAGGGGTAAGCAAGTTAGAAGGCTGGTTGCTGATCCACTCCTGGAACCAGGGAGAAACTTAGCCAGGCCCTACAAAAGGCACAGAAATAGGGGGGGGGGGGGGGTAAGGTATGCTAAATAAACACAGCCCAGGCATTTTTCCTTGGCTAAACTGTTTCCATCCAGCCTGTGGGTTGGTTTGTTTAGTGGTGTGTGTTTGTTTGTTTGTTTTACCATGAATACGGCTGAGTCCTTTTCACCTATTAGAAAAGGGTGTGTTGCTGTGTTTTAAGAATACCGAGTTACAGTTAAGCAATTTACCTAAAACTTTTCCTTTTGAAGTTTTTTTGTTTTTTTTGGTTTTTTTTTTTTGTGTGTGTGTGTGTGTGTGTGTGTGTGTGTGTGTGTGAAAGCTCAGTTGGTCAAATGAAAAATTCTTAATCAGTGTCTCCTTTTGCACATTCAGTTACATAGAAGCACTTTATAATTTGGGGCAATTTGAAACTAACATCAAAGAACTAAAACATGCCTGCTCTCTACCCCCCAAACCCTCAAAAATTCCTCAGCATTTCTGCCAGACTCATTTTTCATAATCCGCCAATCTGTTATATTTTTCTGCTAGTGGGGGCTGGCCACAAATAGTCTTGGAGGTAATGAATGCGGTGAAAAATATGTAAAAAATAGTTCTGGTGTCAGATATTAAAAAATAGTGTTTCTCTTTTTCTAAATTTTAAAAAAGCTGTAATAAAAAAATGTTTGTAGTTGACCATCAGCTTTAGTCAGATAAACATGCAAGGACTGCTAAAATCCATCCAGTGGTGGCCGACTGGCATGGGTTGAGCGTCACCTGTGAACCAGGCTATTCCTGGTCAGGGCACATGCCTGGGCTGCAGGCTGGATCCCCAGTGGGGGTTGAGGGGAACTTGCTGGAGACAGCCAATCAAGGATTCTCTTTCATCATTGATCTTTCTCTCCCTCTCTTTTTATATATATTTAAAAAGGAATCTTTTAAAAAAAAAATCAACCCAGTAGGAAGAATGAAAAATATCTCCAATTTTTCTTCTTCTATCATTTGCTTCTTTTCTTGAATTTACCTGGGAGATGTCTGATAGTGTTGGAGCTTACTTGTGCAAAACTTAAAGGGTGGGATTTTCACTGGCAGAATTCGAGCAGAAGTCAGAGTGCTGTGCAAAGAGATTAAAAATGGGAATTAGAGTCTCAGTCTAGGTTTAAGATTTTCATATTGCGTGTTGTGGATCCAAGTGGTTTGTGTACCGAGACAAGAGGAGACCGGTGGACTGTGTGTGTAGGAAAGTGTGGGTTCTACACTGTAGAAGAATCCCCCCATCCCCATCCAGACAAATACCATCCCGCCCAGCTACAGAGGCAGAAGTGAAACTGCTGACCCAGGGCATTCAGTCCTTCCTGCCTGAGAGGCTCTAGTGGGGGTGCTAGTGAGCGGCAAAACCACCCAAACCAGGGCTCTTAGGTCTTGGGAGAGGATAGAGGAGAAACAAAAGTGGGGAACAGTGAGAGCATATCGGGGACCTGGCCCATGACGATGCCGTGTATGCAGCTAAACCCCAACCTTTAGAACAAATTGGGCTTTAAAACCTTAAATTGTAGTGTTAACCTTCCAAACTGATGCTGGACATACGATATATAGTCAAGATTTTCCCAGGGAGAATTTTAATTTGTCCCATTGCTTTTGGCCTTCATATCAACAGCTTCAGTGGTTTTTGAAAGTAAGCAGTGCACATGTCACAAATAAATAATTTAAAACAAATTATTCTGATCCACTTTTTAAAAACTGATTTTGAGAGAGCCAGTGAAACAGAAACACCAATCCGTTGCCTCCCTCACATGCCCTGACCAGGGGATTGAACATGAAACCTGGGAATATGCCCTGAATGGGAATCGAGCCCGCCACCTTTTGGTGGACGAGACGACACTACAACCAACTGAGCCACACTGGTCAGGGCCTGAGCCACTTTCTTAAAGTGCTGAATGGAACACATTTATTTTTTATATTAACAATAACTATGTTTTCCATTGTATTTTTACTTATTTATTTATTTATAATATTTTTATTGATTTCAGAGAGGAAAGAAGAGGGAGAGAGAGATAGAAGCATCAATAATGAGCGAGAATCATTGATTGGGTGCCTTCTGCACGCCCCACACTGGGAATCGAGCGCCCAACCTGGGCATGTGCCCTGACCGGGAATCGAACCATGACCGCCTGGTTCATAGGTTGACGCTCAACCACTGAACCACACCAGCCGGCTTCCATCATAGTTTTAGAAATAATTTCCAGATAATCCTAGGAGCAGGGCAAAATGTGTTAGTAGCCGCAGTTGGTTCTGAACAGGTTGACTCTCTCCATGCCTGTGAACAGAGAACCTGTTGCCACTGGACAAGCTGAGCCAGGGCCTAGGTGTAAACAGAACCCTGGTCACCTGCAAAGAGTAGCAGCCACTCCCCATACAACAGCCAGAGTGAGACTTGAAGATGGGTCTGGCTGTGTTGGCCCTTGTTTAGAATTCTCAGAGGGCTTTTCACTCCTTCCTAGGGTTTGCAAGGACTCTCACTCCCATGGACTCCTGTCCAGTTACTCCCTCCTGTTCGGATGCTTCTGCAATAGGCATGCCTGCCCTCTGGCTGAATCTTTCCTGTGATATCTGCTTGCTGGCTCCTTCTGGTTTAGGTTTCAACTCAGAGGTTGTGCTGAAGAGGCCTTCCCTCACTCACTCCCCAGCTAGTCACACCTCCCTCTCCTCCCCTCCCCTCCCCTCCCCTCCCCTCCCCTCCCCTCCCCTCCCCTCCCCTCCCCTCCCCTCCCCTCCCCTCCCCTCCCCTCCCCTCCCCTCCCCTCCCCTCCCCTCCCCTCCCCTCTCCTCTCCTCTCTCCATTTTTAATTTCCTAACGACACTGCTCACCACATGATGGTGGATGGTAGACGCCTCGTCCATCGCAGGTGCTCAGTGGGTGACTGTGGTTAATGTCCAGGGCCAGGCCTCCCTATCTCTCTCCCTCCTGACTTTCCAGAAACACAGTTGTTGCAGCTCCTGTGCCCTTTGGGTGTGGGAGGGTCTTGGTTGATGGAAAATCGCCTTTAATTTCACTGTAATATTGAAGCAATTTCATTGCTAAAAATGTTAGGACATCTAGAGAAGATAGATTTTTGGACTCTATTATCACTAATATAGCAATGTTAGCCTACTTTATATTCTCACAACTATCCCAACTGGGGAAAAAGTCACAAGCTGCTGTTTTAATGTTGAAAACACAGATTTAACAGCGTCTCCCCAGGAGCAGGTTGCCCAGAGCTCAGGTGGGGCCTTAAGTGCCTTCACTTTGGCCCATTTGTCACAGATTCCATCTTAACCCAGAGCGCAAGGCTGGGCTTACTATGCGTCTCAGCAGGGGGTTAATGGTTATAAAAATGGAAAAAAGCCTTTGGCCTGGAATGAAGTGCTTAATAGGGTCTTGGCTCAGGATCTGAGTAGCCAGCAAACCTGTCAGTCCTGCCTGGCAGTCTGTTTTCTCTCTGGTCAGGGGGACTCTTAATTTTTCATGGAATTGTGAGGAGGATGGAATGAGCTAATGGCATGTCATAAGTCCTCCAAAAATATTAACCGTTATTACCAATGACTTCTTCCATTATTCTGAGCTCAAAATTTGGGGTAATTGTTTTTCTTGGACAGCCAGTGTTGGTGGAGTGGGGGAAAGGTTCTTTTCTCATTGAAATGCATCCTAAATTGCACCTTGAACTGTAAGGGCAGAACTAAGGGCAATGCCCTCCTCCCTCCCCAACCGCACAACCCCCCCTCCCCGCCCCTGTCGGGCAGGGCTGTGGGGTGTGGGTCCTGACTTCCGAGTCCCTGCCGTGCTGTTCAGGACTTGGTTTCCCTGTAGTTCTGGTGCGAGACCCACCCTTGGCCTGTCCTGCGGCCCCCGCCCTGCCGCCCCCTAACCTTCACTTGCTGGATTCAGACTTAACTCAGTCCAGGAATAGTTTCCTGTCATGTGCTTCTCTGCAAGGTTAAAAATGAAGGCCAATTCCTGCTCTACTCTCCCACACAACTCTGCCAACGTGGGTGTGGTTTTTGATTGTAAACATCCAGATGATTCTTTTTTTTTTTTTTTTTAACCAGCCCAAACCAGGTTTTTCAAGTGAAGTCTTCTGGCTGCAATGGATGGAAAATGTGGCTTTGTTTCTTACATCAGCCTCTGGGTGCCTG